GAGATGGACATACAAAATGAATCCACCATGCTCCTCACTCCATACTTGCTCATTTACTACAGGTACATTATACTGGTATTTTTTAAGGTCTATACATGAAGGTCAACATGGCATGCAGGACTTTGTTTAGTACACGTACATACTAAAGGGTAGCTTTCAACCCAACAGATACACTGGTAAATAAACCACCTGAGCATAGCCACCTGAGCATTGCCAGTTGTGTTTACCTGGTATGTTCCTACCACAGCAGCCACAACACCTGGCCAAGGCTTTCCTGTCCTCACCTGGGCAGCACACCTGCTGCTCTCTTTCTCTCAACGTCTGTCATACACAGAGCTGCTGCTAAAACCTTCCCTCAGCAAAACACACCCTACCTGAGAAATCATATTTCAGTATTTACATCAAATTCAAATTACTCCAACTTCAATCCCCACTGCTCTCTGGCATGGGGGCACTGTGCCAAGGATCAAGAATACCTGCTTTGATTTCCCCACTCACCACATTTTCATTAGCCTCTTATCTTTGATCAAACACTTATTAAGTAGTTAATTCTAACAACAGATAAGGACATAGTTCTTATTCTCAAGATACTTAACACCAAACATAGTAATAACACACACCTGCTGACCCACCCCAATAACATGACAAGCAGGAGTGAAAGGACATGGGGGAGGGCTGGGGGGAACGTTGGGACAGTACCACCAAGGACAGAGTGGCTCCCACATTCACTCCACTCCCTTACCACCCTGTACTTTTAAACAGGTAGCTCATAAGTCACCATTTCTGAAGTAGGTGTTGTATCCTCCCCCCCATTCATGAGATCAATAGAACAGGACAGCAGTCCACAAAACAAGCACAGGAATGCAGCAGAAAAGGGATAAAGTTCAAGGCCAGGCAGAAAGGTGTTGGGCTCAGAAAGACTAAGTATCTCTGTGTCAGATGGTCTGACAAGACTTCAGAGCTCACATTTGCACTAGGAAGCCAACAAGGCTTTCACCTCTTAAATGATTTACAAGAAGCAGTCTTAAGGCTAAATTAACTGCAAAGGAAGGCCCAGGACACACAGCATGTGGACAGAGATGACATTTCAGTGTGTGCAGCCTTCTCCCTGCAGATCCAAAGGGTCTGTCCATGAAAATGAACTCTGTCACCAAGCACTTCAGTTTTTTTCCACAGCAGCTCTATTCTGGTCAGTTGGATAATCCACCCTCCTCCCCACCAAATACCACTTTATCCTCAGCTCCAGTGGAGAGAACTGCAGTTCACTAATAATTCAGGCTTTCTTTGCAAAGCAGTCTCAATCCAAGGCAAGTTAAATCCAAAACCAATGTGGCTTGAAAAAAAAAAAAAGGAGACATTTAAAGAGGGCAGCAATCTATATAGCCTTAATGTCTACTGATGAGTGCCTCAAATATCATCAAATTCCAAAGTATGTGGATGTACAAAGAAACCCAAAATTTCACTCCATATCCACAAAAAGCACTGTTACTGCTAAGATTTTCCAAAATGGCCACAAAGAAACAATGTTGTGATGGGCATGCTAATGATCTGTACATGATCACTTGAAATCTCCAATATTCAGAATCTTACACTAACACAGTAGCAAAATCAAGATACTTAAGCCAAAAACTTTGTGAACATACTTGATATTTAGCAAACCCTGTCAGCTCCAACATCCAAACACACATAGACTCCCAGCACCCTGCACCTGTGGTCTGGCCACTACCGTCCCCCACCCGGATTGCTGCAGCAGCCCCAGAGCAAAGCATAGATTAGCTCCCATCACTCCTCCGGCAAAACCAGTCCACGTCACTCACAGTAACAACTTCCCCCACTAGTACATTTTACACAAAGTAATAAATACATAAATTCTCACATACTGGATACTGTTGTTTCAATATCAAAAGCAGCTGATTCTCATGTACACTCTCATAAATTATTTACTTGGGACAAAAGGGTAAATGGATTCAAATAAGGTAACTTGCTAAATCCCTCCCATTCCTGGAATTTATTCAAAAGTAAACAACATACAAGTATTGTGTCTTATCAAAACAACAAAACAAACAAAAACTGCTTAGAAGAACTTGAACTCCTAGTGGATATCAAAAAACTTTCACTATGATCATCTCAATAGATGCTGAAAAAGCATTTGACAACATTCAACATCCATTCACGATAAAAATTCTCAAAAAAATGGGTATAGAGGGCAAGTACCTCAATATAATAAAGGTCATATAAGACAAACCCACATCATACTTAACAGTGAAAAGCTAAAAGCTTTTCCTCTACGATTGGGAACAAGACAAGGATACCCACTCTCAGCACTTTTATTCAAACATAGTCCTGGATGTCTTAGCCATGGCTATCAGACAACACAAAGAAATAAAAGGCATCCAACACAAAGAAATAAAAGGGAAGAAGTCAAGCTGTCACTGTTTGCAGATGACAAGATATGGTACATAAAAAAAATTAAAGAATCCACCCTAAAACTACTAGAACTAATAACTGATTCAGCAAAGTTGCAGGATACAAAATTAATACACAGAAATCTATTGCATTCCTATACACCAACGATGAACTAGCAGAAAAAGAAATCAGGAAAACAATTCCAATCACAACTGCATCAAAAATAATAAAATACCTAGGAATAAACCTAACCAAGGGGGTGAAAGACCTATACCCTGAAAACTACAAGACACTCATAAGAAAAATTAAAGAAGACACCAATAAATGGAAATACATCCTGTGCTCATGGATAGAAGAATTAATATTGTCAAAAGGGCCATCCTGCCTAAAGCAATCTACAGATTCAATGCAATCCCTACCAACATACGAATGGCATTCTTCAACAAACCAGAAGAAATAGTTCTAAAGTTCATATGCAGCCACAAAAGACCCCGAATAGCCAAAGTAATCCTGAGAAGGAAGAATAAAGCAGGGGGGATTACGCTCCCCAACATCAAGCTCTACTACAAAGCCACAGTAATCAAGACAATTTGGTACTGGCACAAGAACAGACCCCATAGTTCAATGGAACAGAATAGAGAGCCCATATATAAACCCACTCACATATGGCCAATTAATATACGATAAAGGAGCCATGGATATACAATGGGGAAATGACAGTCTCTTCAGCAACTGATGTTGGCAAAACTGGACAGCTACATGTAAGAGAATGAAACTGGATTATTGTTTAACCGCATACACAAAAGCAAACTTGAAATGGATCAAAGACCTGAATGTAAGTCATGAAACCATAAAACTCTTAGAAGAAAACAGAAGCAAAAATCTCTTGAATATAAACATGAGCAACTTTTTCCTAAACACATCTCCTTGGATAAGGGAAACAAAAGCAAAAATGAACAACTGGGACTACATCAAACTAAAAAGCTTCTGTAGAGAAAAGGACACCATCAGCAGAACAAAAAGACATCCTATAGTATGGGAGAACATATTCATAAATGACATATCCAATAACGGGTTAACATCCAAAATATATAAAGAACTCACATGCCTCAACACCCAAAAAGCAAATAACCCAATTAAAAAATGGATGGAGGATATGAGCAGACACTTCACCAAAGAAGAAATTCAGATGGCTGACAGGCACATGAAAAGATGCTCCACATCACTAATTATCAGGGAAATACAAATTAAAACCACAATGAGATATCACCTCACACCCGTTTGGATGGCCAACATCAAAAAGACAAACAACAGCAAATGCTGAAGATGCGGAGAAAGGGGAACTCTCCTATACTGCTGGTGGGAATGTAAATTAATTCTACCATTGTGGAAAGCAATATGGAGGTTCCTCAAAAAACTAAAGATTGAAATATCATTTGACCCAGGAATTCCACTCCTAGGGATTTACCAAAAGAAAACAAGATCTCCGATTCAAAAGGACATATGCACCGCCATGTTTGTCACAGCTCTTTTTACAATAGCCAAGATAATGGAAGCAACCTAAGTGTTCATCAGTAGATGAATGGATAAATAAGATGTGGTACATACACACAATGGACTACTACTCAGCCATAAGAAGAAAAGAAATCCCACCATTTGCAACGACATGGATGGAGCTAGAGGGTATTCTGCAAAGTGAAATAAGCCAGGCAGAGAAAGACAAGTACCAAATGATTTCACTCATTTGTGGAGCATAACAACAAAGCAAGGCTGAAGGAACCAAACAGCAGCAGATTCACAGACTCTAAGAAGGGACTAACGGTTACCAAAAGGGAGGGGTTGGGGAGGGTGGGGAGGGACATAGGGAAAAGGGGATTAAGGGGCATTATGATTAGCACACATAATGTAGAGGGGTCACAGGGAAGGCAGTACAGCATGGAGAAGACAAGTAGTGACTCTATAGCATCTTACTACACTGATGGACAGTGACTGCAATGGGGTTTGGGGAAGGGACTTGATAATATGGGTATATGTAGTAACCACAATGTTGCTCATGTGAAATCTTCATAAGATTGTATATCAATGATACCTTAATTTTCAAAAAAAAGTTTTCACTATTTCATTGATTATCCTGTTTAGAGATACAGCTACAAAGCAGGCTGAGCGATTGTATTAATCAAGAAATAACCATAAGGTCCAGATTTACACAACTCCCTAGATCCTCTGTTGTCTGGGAGGAGGATGTGCTGAACAGACAGTGGAGGTACAAGTCAGAGGGCAAAGGGGAACAGGAGGGGTCCCTCTAGAAAACTCAGGGCCCTTCCTTCACCTTCCCACCACTTTGTGATTCTGTGTAGGTAACACTGGGTAACTAACTGTTGGGAAGGCCAAGGGCAATTAGGCACCATCTCTGTGAGGGAAACGCTGCCAGCAGACTTTCCTCTTGTGCCAGGAGACAGACAGCACTGTCCCCCACTCTCCCCACACTTACCTAGGATGAGCCCCACCATGGAGCTGAGGTAGCCAGTACCACTGCCCAAGTTCAGGAAGGAGAGCCCCGGCTGCAGGTCCAGGGCTTCCATCACTTCCGAGTAAATGCATGGGGCTGAGAGGTGGATGTTTCCATGCTTCCAAGCTAGGTCTTTATAAGCATTTTCTTTAAATTCTTCAAGATAATAATCTGCACGATCAATAGCTCGGAAAGCCTGCTCTACCAGTTCAGTCCGGATGTACTGTGCCTCTTTCAAATTATCTATTAGCTCGTCATTATCTTCACCAGCGCTCACAGCACCTCCCATCTTCAAGATCACACTTAGGCAATACTGCAATTAAAAAGTTTTTAAAAGAGCTATTATATTAAGGGTATGAAAACAATGAAAGCTCTGAACACTCACCAACTTCAAATTCTGAAATCTTGAAGTAATACATATGGAATATAGTTTGTTAACACCCAGCCACCCTACCCCACCCCCAAGGATGCCAGATTCAGAAGAGAAAAGTTAAATTTGAAGTTCAATTACATCCATCCAGATGTAACTCTGTAATTTATAATGTCGACTGAATTCAAATGAGCTTGACATACCTAAAACATATCTGACAACCTAAAAACTTCACTGAAGTATGAACTCAAAACTTTACAGGAAGTCATCAATCTAAAACGCCAACTATTGAGGGTTACAATTATTTTGAACATAGATCTGCCTTAACAGGGATATATCCACATAAGGCAAAATTACTGAATGTAAACATAAAAAATTAGACATGTCTAAAAAATCATTCTAATATCAACTTCTCTTTGCGAACTTCAAGTGCTGCAGATCTTTTTTTGTAAGTCTTTAAAAACAAAAATTGAAATTCAAATAAACAACATATATTAGGAATTGTTCGTTGTTTTTCAAATTCAAATTTACCTGGGGTCCTGTATTTTATCTGGCAACTCTACACCCTCACAGACACATAAATATCAAGTCAAGCAATCCATTCAATCAGCTGACTTGGATATTCTGATGTACAGATGTCAGGCAAAACCATCCACAAAATTCTCTTACCCCATATAATATATTTGACAAATACTTTATTGTAACAAACAAAAAATCTTTTTCAAGGATACAGCTTAGGACTAGGAGGAGCTTTTGAAGAGTATACTACAAAACCTTTTCAGCTTTTTAACAATAAAAATACATTTCTTACCTTCTTCCCAACTGCCTTCAAGAAGAAAAAGTAACAGCATATGTTCCCTCTGAGCCAACTACTGAAACACACTGTGCCTCCCTCTTATTCACAGGGGAAAATGCTTTCATCTGTTGAGGACTTGCTCTTCCTAAAACTGCATCTTTTCCAATTTTATACTTACCCATGTATCTCACGTAAAATAGTCATGTTTTACAAAACATCTGATATAAATTGTTGGGGAAAAAAGAAAACACCAGACTTTCCAAGCACTGACACAGTATCTAAGTCAGGCAACTTCCATAACAACATACTATTATTTTATTATTACAAAGTTTATACTGCTTTCCCCCTCACAATCCTATGGATTTCTAACAGCTGAACAAGAATCATAAAGAAATACTGGGGATAGAGATTCCACATACATGCCTCACGCACCCAGCTGACAACTGTGGTGGAAGAGGCTTTCCCAGGAATGAAAATAAACCTTACAGATGAATGCCAGCTTTTTACAAATACACAAAATGTGTGAAAGGAGGAGCTTAATACAAATACTCTTCCACTTTATGGGTGGAACCGTTCATCAAGAATTTGGAGATCAACTTTTCATATCACTAGGGCAGTTCAGTTATTCCATCTTCACCTTTAAGTTGTTTCAGAGCCCTTGTTAGGTCATGGTCCATGGCCAGATGGGATACTTGCTAATGAGGTCGACTTTAATCTTGGATAAACCACTCAGTTCCAGAGCTAAAGTCCATACCCCTAGTCCAGGACAGTCATCTTAGAATTGGGGGTCACTGGTTAAAAGTGGAGTCCTGTTTGGCTGCTTAACAGTCTATTCAGGAAGAAGCCTGGAAATCACAACTCCCCCATGGAGGGTCTGAAACCCACCTTTCCACCCAGAAGCCTGTATATAATGTTCTATCATTCTATCTCAAAACCACCATTCTAATCTTCAGAAGACAACACAAACTATATGCTGGGTATGTTTCATTTTTCTACTAAATACCTATCATTTATTTTCAGTTTTGCCTCACTTTCAAAGTTTATTCCATAAGTGAAGGCTAGCTTTTTAGTAGAAATAGCTATAATCTTTTTATAGGTGTCACCTGCCAATCACAACCCTGCTTTGGCTTCACAACAGCATGAAGCAAACTGGGACTGAGTGGCTATTTGGCCCATTACCACACACACCAGTGCATGAGGGGATGGTTGGAATTCAAACCCTGATGGTCTGGCCTAAGGCCAAGGTTCTTTATCCTGCACCAAATGCAGCTTTTGAAAATACTCAAGGTAAAAACTTCTTTAGTACATAACATGTTGGTATTCTTTACCCAGAATGACAGGCTAAATAACTATGGGGTAACCCTATCTGTTGCCACTGGTAGGAGGCATGTGACCATAGATAGGGTCTGATATTTATTAAGTCTGCCTGGTAATCTAACACTCCACTCCCTCACACTGGAAACAATCACTGCTCACTACCAACCACTGATGTGATCAGCGGTAATGCCACCAAAAACAGGAGGTTCCACAGCAACAGAAGTTTCCGAGATACCCTTGCCGAACGAAACCTGACTCTACGATCCAAACTCGATATTCAAAGTAATGGCAAGTGATTTCTTGGATGCTGGACTTGGTCAGACTTTACAGTCTTCAGGTAGTTCACTACTCTGCAGTTACCTGACCACAGCCCAGAAGGAAAACCCTACTCTCATACCCGCTCCTCCCAAAACCAACTGCTGGCTGAGGACACTGGCTGCGCAGCAGCAGGAGTGAGAAGGTCTCACGACAGACAGAAGAGGCGGCTGTGACTGTGGCCAGGCCAACACCGCACGAGGCCTAATAATGGGGGATCCGGATTCCAGTCTATGCCAAGTTTGTCAGACTACACATGGAGGCCCATGTTCCAACCTGAATGTCACTTGTTAAGGGGAATATGGACCAAGTAATTGGTGGGGCAGACAAACTGAAAAAGGACCCTGGTGGTTGCTTCTTTTCTGTAATACAAGTGCCTAACCTAAGCTTTGATTGCCCAGGCATCCACTTCAAAGATGGCTGTCCCAATACACATCGCTAGCCACAGCACTAAACAGAGAGCCAGGCCCTGTCCACTGACTGAGGCTCCTGTTTCCGAGATCCAGGCTGATTTCACTAACTGACCATTTAGGCCACCACCATTTCTTCCCAGGCTGTAACACTTTTATGTTTTTCATTCACCAATAAAGAGTAAGCCTGAGAAACCCTATGCCCCACCCTCAATCCCAATAAAAGCAGAAACCCAGGCCCAAGTGTTCTCTCTCACTCTACATACCACCTCCTTGGGATACTTCCAGGTGCTCTAAGTAATAAACCTCTATTTTTTCAAAGTTTCCTGAGGGTTATTGCTGAAGGGTGTCTTGCAATCCTAAGAACCACAAGGGCTGGTCCACCCACACCGGTTACACACGCTGAGACCAGCTCAAAACAGAAACACACCACACCTCCTGCTGGTGGAACAACACATGAAACTGGGACTTCTCTTAAAAACCAGAATTTTCAGGAGGAATGCAGAGGGATTTTCTTTTCCAAACATTTGAAAGGCTGCCATGTATACACTTATTCATGAGCATGATAAAAGCCAAACCAGTGAATCACGTTAGATGTAGATAAGCTCTTCTAAACACAAAGTAAGGCTTTCTAACAACAGGAATTACAACTACTGAACCATTCTGACAAGGTGGAGAGCCTCTCACCCCCAAGGATGCCCCAGGCCAGGTGCAAGCATGGGTTAAGTCCAGGAGTCCTAGGCGTTCGTCTCAAGGGCTGAACCCCATCACCTACCAGGTCCCCTCTCACCCCCATTGTGAGGCTCCATTTTGCAAAAGCACAACCCCAAGTTCTGAGTTGTTCACAGGAATCTGACCTCACTAATTCTTGAATAAATCTACTCAGCACACCCAGAACGAAGCTGTTTACTTCAGTCACAACTCTGGAAAAAGGAACAAAGAAAAGGAGCGCACGAGCAAAGGGGCGAAAGCTACAGATAACTTCTTCGAGGTGAACCACTGGGGCAAACGTCAACTCAAGAGGCATATTCCTTAGCAAAAACAAGCATAACACAGGCACGAAGTTCTTCTTCCCCAACTTCAGACCTTTCTCAGATGCCTGACGTTAAGTCCCAGCGCTCTGGGCTCATTCTTAATAACCCCGACGCACGGAGTTGCCGACTACTTTTTAACAGATTCTGTCACCTCCTGAGAAGGTCCAAGAATTTGTTTCGAACCCTGGTAATTCTTGATTGGTCTTAGACCTAACTGCAAACGTTTCCTACTTGGTACCCTAGGGACAAGCTGCACGTCCGGAGAGTTTAGTAAATCCAAGGGTGTAAGCGACTAGGTACCAGGACAGAGACTTTCGGGAACCCCTGGAACGCGGGCGGGAAGACAGGGGCGCATACCAACAACCCCCAGGGATGGGGAGACGCCTGGGAGTGGGGAAGGGGATAGGGGAGCACCCCAGAAGGGATGGTGAAGGGGGGAGCACGGGATAGATGGGGAGAAGCGGGGGGGGAAGCGGGCGAGGGAGAAGCCAGGGGTGGGATGGGGGACGGGGAGGAGCGGCCGGGGTGGGATGGGGAGAAGCCCGGGGAGGGAAGAGGGAAGCACACGGAAGTAGGGGGCCGGCGTCGCTGGGGGCACAGTGGAGGAGGGAAGGGAATAAGAAGTCGCGGGGGCCCGGGGGATGCTCGCCGGCGGCCAGACGCCCCTGGAGGACGGACCGGACTCCCGGACAGGGGACGGGAGGGCACATGGAGAGGAAGGGGCCGAGGGGAGACGACGCCGCACGCCGCGGGCCGGGCCGAGGGCGGCGGCGGCTCTACCTCCGGGCTCGGCCGGCCCGCGGGACCGGGTGCCTACGCCGCGACTGCAGCTCCTCGGGAGCCCCTCGCCCGTCCGCGGCCCGGCTGCGCCGCTGCGACCTCCGCCGTAAACATCCGCCGCCGCCGCGTTGCGTCTGCGCGCGCAGCGGTCCGACTGCGCATGCGCTCAGGCCGGCGCTTAAAGGGGCGACTGAGGCGCGCGGGTCCCCGGGCGCGCCCCGCCCACCGGCCGGGAACCGGGCCGGCGGGCGCTCGGCGGGACCCGGGCGTAGAGGGCGGCCGCAGGCGAGGGTGGTGCCTCCGCGCCGCGCCCCGCCCGGCGCAGCAGCGAGGGCTGCCTGTGGGAGGGCCGCCCCTCCCTCACCTGCCCCGGGGCAGACCCGCCGCGCTGCGGGGACTCGGCCGACCCGCGGCTGGAGCGGACGCGTCTCTGCGGAGTGGGGGAACGTCCGGCGGCTCTCCGGGGGGGGCCTGCCTGACAGGTGACCCCAGACCCAGCGCAGCGCATCTCCACGGCGAGCTGTGTCCCAGGCACGGGGGCAGTGGGGCCGAGGCCTGAGGCAGGTGTCGTGGGCGGAGCCGCATCTTCAAGTACATCTTCAAGTACCATACAGCCTTCCTTTGCTTCCTGAGGCCCTTTTTTTTTTTTTTAGTTTTTTTCTTGATGTGGTAATTTGTAGATAAACATAAAATTTACCATTTTTAAGTGTAGAGTTCAGTACCAGTAAGTACATTCTCATTGTACAGCCATTGCCACTGTCCATCTCCAGAATTTTTTTGTCAACAACTGAAACTCTAACCAAGAAGCAGTAACAGTAGCTGTACTTTTGCTCTTGTGCCTGAAACAACAAAGAAATGGACTATGCAAAGCAACTATTCTCAGGATGTTCAACATCATACAACAAAAGCTCCTGAGAGATGAGAAGCCAAAGAGCTGAGCCCTGCAGTGGCCCCCATCTTACTGCTGTGAGCATTTCTAGGCTGCAGAGCCGGGGGTACCCAAGCAGAGCCTGGAAGAGCTCTGAAGTGAGACAAAACTGAGGATGCAGGGTCACCAGGGTAGCTGGAGGTCACAAGGCAGAGTGCGGGTGGGGAAAGTCCTTGAGAGTCGGTAGCAGGTCCCCCTCCAGTACTCAGCAGGGATCTGATCAGCACATGCCTGTGAGGAGACAGCGCGCGCAAGGCCAGAGAAAGAATCATTCAATAGGACTAGCGGTGACACTGCCCACATAAGACAGGAAATAGTGTAGGTTCCCACCAGCGAGACTGGAAAACTTAAAGGTTCATTGGTACAGTACATGGAAGGGGCTTGCCTCAGTCGTGAGGAATCCTTAGCTCCAGGCTGGTCACTACTCAGATCCCATTAACAAGTAACAGAAAGAAAGAATTAGTAGACAAAGGTACTAAAAGAGACACTATAACTGAAAAATCAAGTGCTGAAAAAGTTGAGACACATAGGTTACAAAAAGAGTCCCAAATACAACTTGTAGAAATGAACATTATAATGTCTGCATTGACAAATACACTAGATGGTATTAGCAGCAGGTTGGACATCGCTAAGGAAAGGATTGAAAACATAGCGATAGAACCATCCCAAATAAAACAGGTGAAGCAAAAAGAATAAAATATTAACAGCATCAATGACAAATGTGGGACAACTTCAGGTGGCCTAATGAACATGTTCTTAGTGTCCCAGAAAGAAGGAAAGACAGAATGGGACCAAAAAATTTTTGACAAAATGATTTGATTAAATCCAAATTTGATTAAAACTGTAAATATCAATGAACCCCAAGCACAAAAAATCAATGAAAACTCACCAAGACACAACATAAATTTCTCAAAATGAATGATAAAATTTTTTAAACAAAAAAGACACATTATGTACAAAGGAATAAAGTCAAGGATGACAGCAGATATCCTGATGGAAATAATACAAGCTAAAAGGCAGTGAAGCAACATCCTTAAAATATTGAAAGGGGGTCAAAAAAAACCTGTTGACCTAGAATTGTGTACCTAGTAAAAATATCTTTCAAAAATAAAAGTGAGAAGGGTGTAGTGGACGTTGGCTGACAGGAAGCTTTTGACTGGCAAGGCATCCATGGTGAATATACATATTGCCAGCTGTGTAACACAGCTATTACCGGAATAACCAGAGAAGGAAGAAGCCCCCACCCCCTACACACAATCCCACGAAGTTCCCCTTTCAGAAAACCCTGGCTGACCTAGATAACTAGGCACTGGAGTGATCCTGCCTCCAGTCTCCCACACCCTAACTCCTAACCTTATGTTTCAAGTTTGCCAAGAACAAATGACCCCACAAGACCCCACACACCTCAACCTCAAACCCTAATAAAGGCAGAGCCCCAGTTTCTCTCTCTTCACCACCAAACCTTGGGTGGGCCATGTACCCTCCAGGAACTGTGAGTAATAATCTTGTTCCTCATAGTTCCCTTATGGTATTGGTGGACGTGCATCCTGCAATCAATAAGAACCCCAAAGGCCAATCCAGTCCACAACATTAGCTCTGGTAGCTGGGGTGAGAGAAAGTCTTTGGGGTTCCCAACAAGGAAGTGAGACTACCCGACTTCAAGACTTTTGTAAAGTTACAGTAATCAAGACAGTGTGGTATCGATGAGAGAATAGGCAAATACATCAATGGAACAGAATAGAGAGCCCAGAAACAGACCCACACAAGAAGAACGCGATCTTAAGATTGGCAGTGTTGTTTTACAAACCACATCAAACACATGATCTATGAAAGAAAAAATTGTTGTAAAGTGTATTTCATTAAAATTAAAAACTGCTCTTTGAAAGACACTCTTTTAAGAGAATGAAAATGTAGGCCACAGATTGAAAGAAAATATTTGCAAATACACATCTGATAAAGTATTTGTATCCAAAATATACAAAGAACTCTAAAAACTCAACAATTAAAAAAAAAAACAATTTAAAAATGGGCCAAATGAACAGATGCCCTGGAAAGAAGACATACAAATGGCAAATAAGCTAGGAAGAGATGCTCAACATCCTAGGTCATCAGGGAAATGCAAATTAGAACAATGAGATACCACTATGTACCTAATAACAAAGGCTAAGATCCGGCACAGTAACACCTCCAAATCCTGGTAAGAATATGGAGCAACCAGAACTGTTATCATTGCTGGTGGGATAGCAAAATAGTACAGCCACTTTGGAAGACAGTTCGGTGGTTTCTTGCAACACTATACAGTCTTACCATTCAACCCAGCAGTTGTGATCTTTGGTGTTTATCCAAATGAGGTGGAAACTATGTCCACACAAAAACCTGCACATAAATTTTTATAGTGGCTTTACTCATCATTGCCAAAATATGGAGGCCACCAGATCATGCTTCAATTTGTGAATAGGTACACAAACTGATACATCCAGATAATGGACTATTAATCCATTTTTTTTGATGAGCTATCATATCGGGAAAAGACATGGAAGAATCTTACAGGCTTATTGCTAAATGAAAGAAAACAGTCTAAAAAGGGAAACATTGTATGATTCCAAGGACATGACATTTTAGAAAAGACAAAGCTGTAGATTTGTGGTTGCTGTGATGCTGTTAACACAATCAGAAGATTAGTGGTTTCCAAGGATGGGGAGGGGAGGAGAGGGAGGCATAAATGAATGGAGCGCAGAGGATTTTTGCAGTAGTGGAACTACTCTGTACAATACTGTAATGGTAAATACATAAAATACACATTCTCATAACCCACAGAATGTAGGACATCAGGAGTGAACTCTAAGGTAAACCATGGACTTTCATTAATAATGTGTCAATATTGTACATCAATTTTAACGATATACCACACTGATGCAAGACATTAATAATGAGGGAAACTGTGCTGGGGAAGGAGAGGTATATGGGAACTCTTTGTACTATCTCCTCAGTTTTTCTGAAAATGTAAAACTTTCAAAAATAAAGTCTATTACAGTATAACACAGAGAAGACCAGTAGTGATTCTACAGCATCTTACTATGCTGATGGACAGCGACTGTAATGGGGTATGTAGGGGGGACTTGATAATAGAGGGAGTCTAGTAACCATAATGTTCATGTAACTGTACATTAATGATAGCAAAATAAAAAATAATAATTATAATTAAAAAAAATAAAACCTATTAATTAAAAAGATGAATAAAGATTTTTCAGACATATAAAAGCTAGAAGCGGCAGATCCACACAACATGAAATGATAAAGAGGGGGTTTCAGGCAGAAAGCAAACAATACAAGGTAGAAATACAGATTTACACAAAGGAATGAAGAGCACTGGGAAGAAAGCTATGTGGATAAGTATATAAAATTGTTTTCTTTGTTGTGGAGTATATATAACAACAAAGCAAAACTGAAGGAACAAAATAGCAGCAAACTCACAGACTCCAAGAAGGGACTAGTGGTTACCAAAGGGCAGAGGTGGGGGAGGGCAGGTGGGGAGGGAGGACGAAGGGGATTGTGGGGTATCAAGATTGGTGCACATGGTGTGTGTGGGGTCTCAGGGAAGACAGTGTATCTCAGAGAAGAAAAATAGGGACTCTGTGGCATCTTACTACACTGATGGACAGTGGCTGCAATGGGGTTTGGGGGGGACTTGATAATAAGGGTGAATGTAATAACCACATTGTTTTCTTGTGAAACCTTTAT